GGCTGCCCGGTGCTTTCGAGCACGCTGTCTCAAAGAGCGTGGTGGGGTCAGTCTTTACGGAGTGGCCCGTGGCTGCGGGGTGTTGGTCAGTCCTGAAGAGACAAACCTCGCCGCCCGAGTCACAGCCTGGTCGGCAAATCGTCCTGTGTCTTCTTATTCGGTAGTGGTGTTTTGAATATATGGCAACAGAGCATAACTGGCCCCATCCAGGTGTTGCATATAGCCTGCTTAAGGTAGCATTTTCTCAACTTGTATGCGTTGTGTAGGGCGATAATCCATTCCCTTTGACCTAGTTCAGCATTTAACCTCAAATAATCTTTTCCAACTAGCGTGTGTATGGTCTTCATGTTTAACTAGTAGAGCTGCCAGTGATGGTTTTTAGTCCTTGCGCTCGTTGTATTTGTCTCTTTCTTCCAATGAGAAACTGAGAAGACCGAACTAAGTCTTGGTTGTATCCTGAGTGATGTCATAGCCATTAGAAATGGTAGTGTGTGAACAGCAGTAATTCCCAATTGAGCCCTTCTTTTGACTAAGCCAATTACTTGGTATCTGTGTTCCCTTTGGATTGAGCGTTCTTCCTTTAGTCTTATGTATCCATTAAACAAATACTCTGCTTTTCAGTTGCCCCGGCCCTAGTTTCTCATTGTACTGCTTCTATTTTCAATGTTTTTTGATCTGTCAGTATATCTGTCTTCAATGTGAGGAAGGATTTGTTGTCTGACAGTTGGTAGATATGTTCTGAATTATAGTCTTCTTGCCTTTATCTGGGTTCTCATTATTTGCCCAATATTGGACTGTCATCCTATGCTGGAAATTTCCTGAATGGACCTCAGTATTTCTCTGTTCATCAGAAGAGGACATTCTATATTCTGCATCTTGCATCTCTTGATCTTATTGGTTACCTTTATTTGCACAACCTATATTCTCTTATTTCTCTTGTTCTGGGAATACTAATATTCATACCCTGTTTGCAATTCAAGCCTTTTCTTCTTATCTGTGTCTCCTTGAAAACAGTCATTTCCCTTGCCATTGTAATATTCTGCTGCTGCTAGTGGACAGCAGCTTTGACCCAGTCATCAACCTGAGATAGGTGCCAGTCTGTTATGTCTCTGCTCTGTAGCTGTGAAGCAGTGGACTGGTGTGTGGCCCCGTGGCCAGGAAGGCTGTTAGATGTGGGATCTGAAGACCAAAACCCTTCTGTCCTGAGAACTACCCTGGATTCAGAAGGGCACATAAAAATATTTGAAATAGGCGTGAGTGTCTTGGGAAGCCTGAAGTCTGTATTCTCCTGATTCTTACAGAGATGTCTATGTAGTCATAGTCCATCTCATGCTCTTAAAAGGTATGAGCAGGGCAAGTCTGTGTCAGCCAAGTTTTTAAGTTGTGCAAGATTTTGAACTAGAGAGACACGGCTGTTGTTATGTGTGCTTTTATATTGTTTAAGTGAAAAAAATAAATTTAAGTTGAAAGCCATAGGCTGAAAATGCCTTGGTACCTAGAAGAAGATCTTGAGCTTAGGAACTGTTGATGATTTAAAACTATTTGGCTACAGTGGTTCAAGTGGTGGAGATAAATTAATTTATTTAACTTCCAAAATCATAAGCAATTGATTTAAATTGGTATTAATAATGCATATCAGCATCACTGTATGTAAAACAGTTGGTCCCAGTTTTGCAAAAGCCCTTAGATGAGATGCACATATGTGGGCTCAATGCAGGATCAGGTGACAGCTTATATTGTCTTGGGATTCTTAGGGTGAATACATAAATACAAATTTTTCTCCTAGCCTTAAAAATCTTTCTAAGAGGGACTGCATGACTGCGTGATGTTTCAAGTGTTCTGTCTCAAATGAACAGTGGGTTAC